CGTGGCAAGAAATCTGAGCGGTTCGACAACCTCGTGGTCAATTCTCGCTTTCCGATGGCGAGCCTCACCACGAGCTACTGTTCATATCAGCCTGTTTGTGCGAAGCGGCAAAACAATTTTAAACCGAACATCAGGTAAGTGCCACTGCAGCTTGAAGACGCAGTGTTATTTTAGTTTTTTATAGGAGACAAAAGTTTTAACCAGCTCATTAAGCTGAACAATAAAAAAAAATATGATCATAATACTTATTATTAGGTTATTAACATTTACACTTTTAAATCGATACAATTCTTATCTTACATAACTTTATACGTATCTGATAAAAATAATGTTATTTTATAGAGAAAAAAAAGAAACCGTGGAGCTAAATAATTGAACCTTTCACAGTGGCGSCATTATGTATTTTTCTTGTAGAGACAATAAAAAATTTTAATATGCRACATGCAACAGATTACTAAGATATAATTGAAAAAGCGAAATGTTTAAAGTTGCTCCTTCTATTGTATTAGTTTTTTCGAAATCATGGATAAATTTAAGGAGTATATTATTTTTTCAGAATGTCCATAGACTATCTTTCAGTAGGTATGAGCTCTACCACAATTTGAGGTTTATATCGTTCATCATTTGGATTTTCACAATATTACGGATATTTACCTCACATAGCTAATATAATGAATCATAGTACAAATGCTCATACAAAAAAGGATCAAGAGTTTATACTTTGTATTTTGCCTTTGTAGTTAACAAATTTTAATAAATATATGGGTAGCACATATGCATATAATTGCYTCTGAAGTAATGAACGAAAACCGAGTGAATTTTAAGTGCGTACCTATACTATTTTACTTAATTGTTATTACAATCGATAGGTAGGTCGTAGACTCGTAGGTAACACCTAATTGAAACTTTACTGAGAAATATTGACAAACTAAATACCTATAATTTATTGATTTTGCAATTAGTACCTACTTTAGTTTGAATTAATTGAAATATTTAGTTAAAATTTAATTTTATATACCTATTATACCTACATAATTTATTATAATTTTTAAGAACAAAATTAAAATTTTAAATGGTATAATTTGTTATTAATGTGTAATAATTCGTTTTGATTATACAATAATATTGAGATACCTAAAGTCTATAGAGGGCATACCATCATGGTCACGATATTCGAGTAAAGCGCATATTGGAAGATAGCATGTCCATAGTGCTAGTACAGATTGTTGAATATAATTATTTTATATAATCTGTGGTGCTAGCGACTATAATATTATCATATTTTAATATAAAAACTATAAATATTCATTTCCATCGAGACAATAGATTTCTAGCACCTACTTATACCCAATATTATATTTCCTCTCAAAATTAATAAAATAATAATTATAATATTATTTCATCACCAACCACCGAGAATAAAGCTATTGACTGTATATCATGGTGAGATGAGATAGAACTCAGGCATGTAATATAGTGTCGCATGAAAAGTCGCACATTAGTGGAAATGAGGGCTATACATATAACTTTTCCGACTTGCTATCACTTTTAACCATAGTTTCCACGCCATTATAAATAGTTATCA